TAGAGTAAAACAGGCAGTATAGCCACAATATAAGGTGTCCTCTATTACATCTGCGAGGTTGTTCTGGGGGTGCTCGCTCATGTATTGTAATATATAGATCACATCTTTGCTCACCTGTGAAAATGACAAGATAAGATAGGCTCAATATTTGTTCAAGTTCACAAAAGTTCACAAAATAGCATTTTTCAACAATGCTTGTGCTTTTTAAAAACACAGCCAGACTTTCTTCATTCACATGAAATTTTAAGTGCTTTTGACAAATTTTTCTGAGAGAGTAGTCTAGATTTGAGACACTGAAGATTCATAGCTGCTCAAGTTCGTTCACCACATTTTTGCCTTCATCATCAACACATTTCTTCTTTTGTTTTCTTTTGCTGTTTATTGTGTCTCTCGAGCTGCTGGTACCAACTTTAATTCACACCTACCTATTAGCTATATTATCATAATAAATGTCTCTGTTTTTAAATTATTACAAAGAAAATCGAGATAAAGTCAAGGACCATGCAGCATGCAATAGAATGGAAAATATTAAACATAAGTTTAAAAAAATCAGAAGATAGCTGTATGGCTCAGAGAACAGGTGAAAGTTGCCCGTATTGTAGTTCGCATTAAGCGAATGAAATTAGTTTACACTAACCTCATTCTTGTGAAAAATTATGCTCCTATATATTTTTTGTGCCTGTGATCAGCACAAGTATTGGATTGATAGATATGTGGGGCTTAACGTCCCAAAACCACCATGTGATTATGAGAGACGCCGTAGTGAAAGGCTCCGGAAATTTTAACCACCTGGGGTTTTTTAACGTGCATCCAAATCTGAGCACACGGGCCTACAGCATTTTCGCCTCCATTCAAAATGCAACCACCGCAGCTGGCGTTCAATTTCCCGATCTGCGGGTCAGCAGCCGAGTACCTTAGCTATTAGACCACCGCGGCGGGGCTACGAGTACTGTAATGGGCTTGTTTAACTAGGCGTATTTGTATTGCACATAACTATTAGTGCACTAATGATTTTTGCTAAGTGAAGGAACACATTGGTCGCACGAAACCACAAGGAAATCTATACTGATTTCTCAGAAAGAAAAGCCTCTTAGTTTGCAATCAAGTGCTGTGCAGAACTAGATTGTTGAGTTTTCTCATACGTTTAGGGAGATGAGTGTTAGAAAGAAGATATTTTCATAAAGCATAGCTCTTAAGTAAAAGAACTGCGGCTTGCCATTTCATTACAGTGTTTAGTGTGAAAAGGTGCAGTTCTGTAGCGCGAGGTTTGTCCTGAAGGTATAGTAACGTTGAGGGCTGGGCTAGTTCATGAGTTATACGTTACGGTATAACTCATGAACTTACAGGGTAGCCAGCCGGTCTGAGAACTGGTAACCTCCCTGTCCTTCCTCATTTATTCCTCCTCCTCCTATACGTTACGGTGAAGTAGCGCACCTTGGGCAGGAATAAAGGAGACATGGTCACGACGCTTGCTACACTCACAATTGAACGTATTTGAGACAAATACTTTGTATATATGTTCCCGTCCCTGTCCTAAGTGCGCTACTGCACCGTACAGTAATAGGGCTGATTTTTATTCCTGCGAAAATGTGGTGAAGGAGGGGATGCTACTGCACTTTTCGGGTAGTGGAAGGAGTCTGCTAACAATGCACCAGAGGCCAGTCTTCTCCTTGCGTATACAGAGTGTGCATTGAGTTCGAGGAGGCCCCTTTTCATAGTGTTTAGTCATCTCGACAATATATCATTTATTAGAGCTTCATTGCATGGTGGGGTTCTGCGTCAAACTGGTAAACTGCAAGTGAGACCAGTGACATGAGCAAGACTGCTTAGGGTAGTGGTGTTGGGCCGGTCACATGTTCCTGAATGGAACAAGCTGTTTCAAGATGGACGGGAGTTAGTTAAAAATGAGCAGTGATCAGAACGCCCCTTCATCGCAATAAGTTGGGACAATGCGCCAAGCCACACCGTTTTTGCTGTCGTCGACTTTCTAGCCAAACATAGCACCACACAGTCCCGAATTTCACTAGTTCAAAATACTTTTTTTTAAACCAACTGAAAAGGGTTATCAAAGGACAGCACCGTAGCTCAGTCCAGGCCATTCAGAAACTTGTAACGAGAAACTGAAGAGCACTATAGTTTCTGTGTTCCAGGGAGCCTTCAGTGATTCACTGAGTCTCTGGAAGCGCTGTGTTAATGCAGAATGGGTACATTTTGAAAAATATTAGGATGATGTGCCTAAATTTTCAACAAACACTTTCTGAAAAACTCTACTTCTTTCCAGACAAGCGCTGTATTACAGCTGTCAGGAACTGACATTGAAAGAGGGCTTTTTTTTTTTTGCATCGTATATGTTAACTGTTAGTCATGGACGTGTGGTATTCCTTCCACTCTTTCATTTTTAGACAGTTGATTGATATGTGGAGTTTAACATTCCAAAACCACCATATGATTATGAGAGACGCTGTAGTGGAGGGCTCCTGAAATTTTTGACCACCTGCGGTTCTTTAACGTGCACCCAAATCTACAACAATCCTACAACAATTCCGCCTCTATTGGTAATGCAGCCGCCGCAGGCGGGATTCGATCTTGCGACCTGAGGGTGAGCAGCCGAGTACCTCAGTCACTAGACCACTGGGGGGGGGGGGGGGGGGCATTTTCAGACAGTAAATTTATTACTAAAATCCCAACTATAGCTGAAATGCATAACGCACCTGTTTGTTCAAGCATGTCATGTACTAATTACGCTTTTGTAGTAGCCTTTCTTTAGTTAACATGTATGCTACATGCATGCTGCCTGCTTATGGACTTACGGACTGTTCTTCCAGTATTGGCTGCATACTTGGTGGTCTTTTATTTTAAATATGTATATCCTTACTTTATGCTTTTTTTAATATTTATTGCCATTTGTGCGAATAGTTTTAGTATAAGAAGACCTATAATATATTGGCATTCGGACTTCCTGTGGGAACACACGCAAGGAATATACTTAGAAAATCGCAACTTACTTAGCCGAAATACACTCACAGTTGATGTACCAAGTCTGTCATGACATGCTTATGAGTAAGAAGGAAGCATTATGTTATAAGTATAAAAGATTAAATTGATAAGGACATAAATAATTTTAACCTGTTTGTATTGAACGAAGTATAGGTATTTAGACAACTCTCAAATGAGCACACAGGTTCACAAGATGACATGGTGGCTCTTGCAAGGATATTTAATTATTTGTGCAGTTTAAAATAAAATTAAATAACAGGGGTCTTTGCTGTTTTTAGTATTGTTCCTAAGAAAAATCTTATTTTCTAAAGAACACTGTTAAAAATTTTAGCTGGTTTGCTACAGAGACTATAGGCTTCATTAAAAACTAATGAACTCTGCCAATATTGAAATGGTTGGATTGCATCAGTTATGGACTTGCGAAACATTAGGCGAAGTATTTTGTTTCAGAGGTTGTGCAACCTTAGCCAATGCATAAAGAATGTGTTGCCTGTATGGTATGCATTTGATCTTACCAGCAAAAATCATCGTAAGCATGCACTGCCTGTATTTCCTTGAGACATTCAGTTCCCCCAGTAAGTTAAATCTTGCAGCCGAACTCCGTGTACAAACCATGTGAATCACTAATTGCGCAATTTTTATCCAGCACACTTCTGTGCATGACGTAGTAGCTCTGCAGTGAATTTTCATTAAGGGGGCCCTGCAACACTTTTTCAAGTAGCCATGGAATAAATTGACTAAACAAGCCCATCGCCTCACAATATCACCGCTGAAAGAAGTCGTAGAATCCATCTAGTATGAGAGAAGAAAACACTCAAAGCTAAGCAGGGAGGGATGGCACAGGGAAAGAAATTGTGTCACGTGCACCTCATGACCTTTCACTTTTTTTTTTTTTTTTTTTTTTTGACGACGCAACTTTTCAGTGCACTTGCGTGCGAACAAGTTGTGGCCTCCCGCAGCAGGCCGGAGCAACGACCAAGCGAGCCATGCTCGAATGAACCAATGGCTCATACAATGGCTGTGACAAGTGATTTTTGAGCATGTATTCTCAGTTGCCAATAGGAGAGAAAGCAATAGGTAGCTGATTTAAGAATTTATAGTGAATTTCAGGCAGGGAGCATACCGTGCTATAATATTTGGCTCGCCTGTTCTCGGAAGCCTGAACTACCGATCCACAGCATTTCTTGATCATGTTCAAAAAGTGTTTCACGGTCCCTTGAAAGGGCCCCAATACCACCCAGAGGTCAAAAAAGGTAGTCTTGCAGTTGTGCACGAGTTAACAAGGAACACGTAACTGCGATAATGTTTTGAAATAGTGCCATAAATTCAGAGTGAGGATGCGTTTGATGATACCAAAAAAGCCCTTGTGCGTTTCACCTTTTCTTTTGCTACGCTGCATTTGTCAGCGCGTCTGGTTTCCTGGCTGTGCTAGGAGGAAGGGCAGCACGCGCGTGTACTTGCTAGTGGACAAACAGCTGATATGGGTGATGGCGAGCAGATCATATGTTGATATCACGAGGAATATTGAGAGGACGAGTATTGCTGAAAGACACAGGAGGGGAGATTGTTTCATCGGATTTGTGAGGCACCTGCGGCTCGTCGTGCTGCCGCATTTGGCATTGTTGATCATTTCAGCATTCTCCACTCAATGTGCCTGTTTAGTTGAAGTGTTAAAAATTATCGGATGTATCTTAGGGGCCCTTTAGAGCTAATTCCTGAGGAAAGTCGCACTCTTCTTTGGTTTCCTCTAGCTATTCGTTTGCTGGTTCAAGAACTATTGTGTATTCGGGCTGTTGCCTCACTATCCTTGTGTGTTCGTCCTTGTTGATGTCTTTTTCTTGTATTCTTTGCTGTACCCATGCTTCATTTGCCCTGGACTGGTAAGATCATTGCATAAATCGGCATGAATAAGATTGCACATTTTTCTCTCTGGAGTAATGTTTGAGAGTATTTTTTGTACCTTTCTGCGACAACACGTGCCCACATGTCTCCATCACCAACAGGCCGTGTGCCGGGGCGGTACATGCTCCTGACCCTGCTGTTTGTTGGCAACACCATACTCTCAACGCACAAATTCGACCTGGGCATCGCAGTTTTGGCCATGACGAAGCAGGTGCCAGGGGCAGACGAAGCTGAAGTTTTTGTGGCCGTTAATTCTGGGCTCGAGCAAGACAATCTCACAGTATCAGGACTGTTCAACAATGCCTCCCGCTTTGCTGTGGTGAACAACAGTGAGGTAGCAAAAGTGAGTGCATTGTTTTCTCGGTCTCTGTGTTGTTTAATTTGATTTTACTATATTGAGTTGTAATTACTTTATTTGGGTTCATTTTCTTGAAATTTGACGATTACAGTGCAAAGTTGTGAGTATGGCTCAGAAATACAGCCAATTATTGGCAATATCGAACAGCTGAGAAATGTCCTTCAATTTCTCATTTTGTGCTCATATGCCCTTATTGTGCATTACCCTTTATCAGTGCAAATTCTGAGCAGGTGTCATGTGTGTTGTCACTACATTGAACATAACTATGTATATCTTGGGGAATTAATGATAATGGAAATCAAGAATGTGACAAGAAAGCAGTTGGAACACGCACTGAACTTCTAAAAAGCAAGCTTTAAGTTGGGGCATGTTTGTGTTGTCTTCTTATTTGATTTTTAGATTCATGCTGTTACTCTTTTATGGGATATAGAGAACTGTTTGTCCTACTATGTATTCATGAAAATGATATGTAACCTTTAGCTTTTTTTTATTCATCAACTCTAAAAGTGTTATATTATTTCTTCCTTATTCGTTCCTATGCTTCAAGTTTAATGTCCTTTAACATGTGACCTTCTATAGTCTATAATTAGAGGGGGGTTTTCATGATACTGGCAAAAGACCCACATTTTTATTCTTGTTCTCTGATTTTATGATTGTGTGAAGAAACTGCAACTAATCAGTGTTATTATATTTTCACGTTGTACTCGTGCTTTTGCAATGGTTGTGATCGGGAGCACTGGCATGTAGTACTTGCACCGATTTTAGTGAGAGCACCTCACAACTCAAGCCGAAACAGAGCATTATCAGATGTCATGTTGACTTCAACTTGATGATGAAGCTCTGCTTATTTAAAACACTCCAGTTTTGACTAATTAAACTCGTATCTCTTTTGTGTAGGCCGCAGTTTACTCTGACAGTTTTCTAAATTGTTGCTATAGAAGCTTTCATACTTCTGTTATCTGTTCAGTCTGCACAGGGCCATGGGCAAAGCAGGAGGAGAGAGACAGTTCTGACATTCAGAGCTCCTTGTGGTGCTTGTTGCTACACATACCACATAAATAGATGTTCAGTTGGTAACTGACATGTTACATCAAAAGCAATGTACAGGGGCATGCTTCATTCCTTCAACTATGCTACTGTTGATAAACAGATTACTTAAGCACACAATTTTCTATTTGTCAGTTTCTTTCTATCTTTTAAGCCATACAAATGTCCCTTGGCTTTCTTATAGTGTCACTTTTATTCCAAATTGCAGTTTGAGAAGACAAAAACTTAAAGTATTGGCTTGAGTTTTATCTCATTGTATCTGTCTCAGTCCAAGAAACGTTAATGTGAGCTAACTGACAGAGCATGCTGACATTTATGTCTTTTATGTTCATTTCAGCTGTTTCCCTAACGTGCAATACACATTTTGCATGTGGTATCCTCGCTTTAAAAGCTTTTTTTCCATGCGAGTACTCTGTGAACACAACACTGTAATAGCAGATAACTCCTTGTAACAAGTGCCGTGCCAATCAGGAAGGAAAGGTTACTGCTCAGTGAAGTGTTTGCAGTATGATTCGGTCATGCGCGGGTTAAGTTAGTGCTTTGTACCTTCGATAATGTTACCCCAGTTCAACAAATGAAAAAAACAAGTTTCTGGGAATTATGCAGGGCATCTTTTTTTTAGGCTCATTCAATCCTGAAAAGTAGACCTGTTTACCATCATGCCCAGATTGTTCTTACTCAGGTCTCCTTACTGGTAAGCTCTCAAAGAAATAGAGAGAAATTATTACAGAGAAATACAGAATACGCATCTCTCATAATCATATGGTGGTTTTGGGACGTTAGACCCCACATATCAATCAGAAATACAGAATACAGAGAGATACATAGAAATTAGTTCAGTCTTGTTTGTAAGGAGGGATTAAGATTGTTTAGTTATTTGGTTAATTGTGGTTTGCATGTGGCTAAAACAGATTATAGCAGTTAGGAACCTACACAATTATTTAGCCCATGAAAGAAGCTTTGGTTAAAAAGCTTTTGTAAGAGCTATTGAAATAGATATATATGATTGTATAGAAGGCTAATGGAGAGTGAAACTAACATGAGAAAGTTGTCAGTGTCACTTTGAGTGCTTGTCGATGTGATATGCCTTTTGCATGATTGTCGTTATTGAAGATTTTTTTGCTCAGCCTGTTTTGTCGCAGTGTTGCCAAACTGCTCATTTGCGTCGGCCACACAAAAGCAATTGTCAAGAAGTGAGAATGAAACTTAGTTAACGATGCACTGTGTATCTCGAGGTTGCCAGTTTGGATGCTGAAATACCAGCAATACTGCCAGTATGATCCACGTAGGCGTAGTTCTAAAGCTTGGTGCAGCTGAAGAAAGAAAACACCATACATTTAGTTAGTTTGTGGGACCTCCAGTAATGTTTATTTTTCAAATTTTGTGCTCAGGATGGTGCCCTCATCACAACCACCCCAGCAGTGTCCCCGGAGGAGGAAAGGGCAGGTGCACCTTCATTCTCGTGGTCACCCTCAGTGCAGGGTGTCATCCTGGGTGCATACTTTTACGGAGTCATTATGCCCCAGGTAAGACTACCCCACTCATTTAAACAGTTTTAAACAGTGCTGCATTGTTAATGTTAACTAATTAGCTAACTGTAAGCATGTTCAGTATAAAAAGATCTGCCAAGTGGGCTGTTCTTGAACCTAAGCCAGGTCCACTATCTTTCTAAAGGTCATATTATTAGTTGATCACTTCTGTGGGGATGTTGACTCCACTGAATTCTGTTTAAGTGAACATTGTTTTTCATGGGAGGATCTTCGCCTTGTGATACACATGATTCTCATTGCGCTGTGACTGACCCAGAGCCGAGTGCTTTTGCCAGCTTATTAGCACCACAGAAGAATCGTAGTAACCAGCACATTTGTAAGTGGGGCAACAGCAAGAGGTATCAAAACTGAGATTTTCTCATCATTACCGTATTTACTCGAGAATAGGTTGGGGACAAATATAGGTCGACCCTTACTGATGGTGTTCTACGAGGGAAAAAAAGATATTTGAATATAGGTCGGCCCACATTTTTTCTTTTAAGTTAAAAACAGAAAAATTGAAACATAGCACATCTTTATTTACATAACTTAGCACCCTAATCGCTTTCGGGGCCATCATTTGGTCACATGTTCAAAATTTTCTTGTCATCCTATTCTTCGTAAGCATCGGCGGTTTGCCAAATGACATCATTCTCACTCTATTGCTGCGGATTGCTGGGCCGCGAGAAGCATGACGCCGTCGGTTGCACGCAAACAGATGGTCCCACTGCTTTTGCCTACCCCTTATCAATTTCTCATTCACAGAGAACTCGCACTGCGCAGCACGATTGCCAGAGTTCTTGGCAAAAAGTGTCACTTAGCAATCGAAGGCACCTGTATAGCTCTGCCGACAGGAAATCGTCGCAACAACCACAAGCAAATGGTAGTAATGGTTAGAAGAAGGCACTTACTTTCTGCAACCCCGTAGGGAGCACGGCACAGCGTCTCAGGCAAATGTGAACCGTCACCCGGTCACGCCAATCATACAATGAACAAAAGGTGAGGTAGCGAGGCCTTAGGCCAGTGCCAGTACAGCTGTGCACCAGAAAGCAGTACCGGAAGCACAGCTAGCGGGCTAGAGACTTCACAGCCTATACCTAGGGAAATCATGGGTTTCATCGCAAACATGGCAGAGAGGCTACATTTTGCGAGAGCTTTGAAAAGGCGGCACGCAGCTATTCCATAAATAACTTTTTTCTCAATTTCTTAGGTAGTTTGAAAGGAGGGGGGAAGGGAGTCTTTATTCCAGAGTTTTTGGTTTAAAACATGCGTATCCAGCAGGAACCCCTTGAAAACAGCAGGCGTGGCAGTTGAACACCATAAGTTCGGCGCTTTTGGTTGGTTTGATCATGAATAGAGATCGAGATTCTTCGGTAACAAATATAGGTCGATAATCTGGTTATGAACAACATTTGCGGGAAAAAAAAGTTGATCTATATTAGGTTAAATACAGTTTTTTCCGTCTGAATGCAAGCTTTCTTCAATAACTATGGAGCAAAGCATAATACCTAATTTTCATTTAAAAAGGAATATTACTAGAGGTGTGCAAACAGCACACATTAAGATATTTTTCAAATATTTAATTTTTCAAATATTTTGGGAATACTTCGAAGCAAATTACACCAAGTTAAAGAGGATTCCTAAGCATATTATGAGATAGCTACACGAAAGTGTTTCTCTTGGCTAGGTTGGTGAAGTGCTGAGAAGTAGGTGTTCTCTAGTTGTGTTATCAAGAATGATTGATTGATTGATATGTGGGGTTTAATGTCCCAACACCACCATATGATTATATATGAGAGACACCATAGTGAAAGGTTCTGGAAATTTCGCCCACCTGTGGTTCTTTAACGTGCACCGAAATCTGAGCACAAGGGCCTACAGCATTTTCGGCTTCGTCAAAAACGCAGCTACCGCAGCCGGGATTCGATACCGCAACCTGCGGGTCAGCAACCGAGTACCTTCGCAGCCACTATACTTCCACAATGGAGCTTATAAAGATTGAGGCAATGCAGAGGCTGAACTTTTTTAATTTACATGATTTGGGGCAAGCGATGTGGTGCTGTATCAACACATTGTATCAGCCGGGCCACGTTCAATGAAACCAAAACGCATGTCAGGACAGTAGTGAACGCCTGTATTTATTGTCATCAGTCTCTTGTAGCAATACAAGGGAAAGGGGGAGCGGTTTAGTAGATAGTAAAGAAAGGAACATCTAGTTAACCAAAATAGGTGGCTTGCGCTCTTGGGTCTTATATGATACATCTTCTCCTTCAACGTCGTTGACTTATTTTCTGAAAGTTTTGATGATATCAAGAGACACATTCTTGACATGTTTGACGCTGCAACCTTCGCTGCTGTAGAACTGGCTGCAAAGGTAATTGCAGACAACTTGTGACTACCGTGAACGAGCCCGACATGGAAGATTCTACAGAGACAGGTACCTGCTCTTCGCCGTAATCTTTGTCGGAGGTGTCCTCAAAAAGCTCGCTTGTTACCAAGAGGTGCTGCCGATTTCGGCGCAGGATGTTCCGATCTGGAAGGAACAAGGCCTCACTTATCCAAGAACCTTGGTTTTTTTTTACCCATGTCCTTCCCCTTATGCAAATGCCGTTCTTGCTTCTGAGGCCGGGAAGCACACGTCTGTTGTGTTTGCTCTGCCTGTGCTTCCTTACTCACGTGGGAACAGGGGGTCTGAAGTCCGGTATGAGGGTTCGCAGGTATCTTCCTTGCAGCAGCTCTGCTGCTGGTCACCCATCATCTAGTGCACTTGTTCTGTAATTCAGGACGCTAAGCCAAAAGTTCTCATTCGCCACTTTTGTCGTTTTAAAGTTGTGCCTAATTATCTGTACAGCTTCTCGGCAAGGTTTTTTAGGGTACTCTAGACCGGATGTGATATGCTTGAATTCGAATGGCTGATCAAATAGCCTGAATTCACTACTGGCAAACTGGGGTCCATTGTGCAAACTTTGACTGGTATACCATAACAGGAAAGTATGGCTTCGAATCTTTGTATCACGGAACTCACTGTTGTACTGGGTATTACTTCGTCTTCCACAAAGTTTGACATTGACTCATAGGCACAGAGATAATGCTGCCCGCCATACTGAAACAAGTCGACACCCACGACACCAAGCTTGTGTCTGTATTGGATGCATGATTAGTGGTTCCGGCAGCTGCTTATAAGCATAAGTCTGGCACAATGCACACTTGCGAACTAGTTTTTCTGTATCAGAATTGAGATTGGGCCAGTATACCAACTGCCTTGCTCTGGCTTTGCATTCTCCGATGCCGAGATGCCCTGCACGAATGTGCTTTATAATGTCCAATTGCATCCTACTTGTCACTATGACCTTCGTTCCTTTTAGAAGGATTCCTTTTACCTCTGAGAGTTCAGAAGCAACCGCCTTCAGCAGACCTTCCACAGCACAGCCATACGCAAGCTTGTGAAGTACCTGCTAAAGGCATAGGTCCCGTTCAGGCTCACTTGCAAGCCTTGAAATGGTTTTCTCACTTACGAGTGCCGATACTACTGTGACTCCGTGAACTTCGACGTTACTTTTGGGACAGGCAGCGCCTTCTTCAGAAGCAGGTGCTCAAAAAAGCATGTCGGCCATAACCATCTATTTACTGCTAACAAAAGTAGAGGTGTAATCATACTTCAGTAACCGCCAATAGAAATGCTGTACTCTCAACGGCATGTCAGCAATGGCCTTTTTTGATATGTCAAGCAGTGGGCGATTGTCGCTCTCAAGACTGAAAGTGATGACCATATACTAAGTAGTAAAGCTTTTCGCATCGAAAAACCAATGCCAGAGATTCTTTTTCTATTTGTGAATAACATTGTGCAGATTCGTTTAGAGCCAAGCAAAAGCCACAGGTCTCCAGGCACTCCCATGACGTGGCATCAGCGCCAAACCGACATAGTACTGTGAGGCATGCGCTGCTATTTTCGTTTCTCTGCCTGCTTCGAAAATTGCTAAAAGTGGCAATTCACTAAGCTCTCTTTATATAGCCTGCCATTCGTTCTCATAGTTCAGTGTCTAGTCAAGAACATTACGATGCTTCAACAGCGAACGCAAAATAGAACTGCACTGGGATAGTGGCAGAACATATTAGCTAAGGTAGTTGACTATGCCTAAGAGCCTCTGCACCGCTTGTTTGTCTCATGGTGCCGGCATTTTCAGCAGAGCTTCGACTAAAGCAGAGTCAGGACGTATGCCCTTGCTGCTGACAATGTCACCAAGGAACAAAACTTCTTCAACGTTGAACAAGCACTTTGATGCATTGAATGTCAGTCCTGCTTTTGCTGCCGCTAGTACTGCGTTTTTGAGCCTGTCATCGTGTTCTTTCCGGTTAGCACCCCGTCGGCATATGCACGCTTGCCGGGCAAACCATCAGATACCTCATTGAGTGCCTTTTAAAAAACTTCGCTTGCCTACAAAATGCCAAAAGACAGTCAAAGAAACTGATAATAGCCTAAGGGAATTGTGAAGGTGCATATTTTGGAAGACTGTTCATCCAGTAGTACCGTATTTATTCGCGTAATCTTCGCACTCGCATAATTCTCGGACCCCCCACATCGCCCGAGAAAAATACGATTTTTTTTCTCTCGAGTAATTATCGCACCCCCGAAAACTCCCGCAATAATGTCGTCTGCTCGTTCCAGCCACTGATGTTGATAGCGCGCGCTATCTGGCGCCATCTCTTAAGCATCAAGCATACTATTGCACAGAAATTCAATCCAAACCAAGCCGAAGTGGCCAGTGCGCGTTGCCAAAGTTACCAGGCAGGATCTAGTAACGTTGCGTGTTGCGGCGTGTTTTGTATTTTGTGTCGGCAATCTCGTCACGTTATGGGGCGATACTGAAGCCACACGGCTGCTTTGAATTGCAAGGGATAGATCATGCGCTAAACAATGGCAACAGGGCCGCCGGTAGGCCCTTCGGAGCCTACGAGTTTTGTGTTCGCTACTAGTGACGGCAGCTGAAAGCCACCAAGACGCGTTGGGCCTGCTGCGTGCCTAAAACTGGGATTGATGGTAAACTTTATTTCTTCAGAAGGAAACTGCGGACGATTCTGTTAAATAGCCATCAGCCCAATACTGACGTCCTACGCTTACCTTTGGAGGGCTCCTGTTGAGCGCCGACCGCTACGATCCGCAACGCCCACAAGCTTCGCGTGTGGTATTCTAATTCTCGACTATTCGCTTCCACTTTTTGTGTCTCAAATAAATCTTGCCTTGTGTTGAACCTCTGCTTTTATTGTTGAGGTAAGCTCTAATTAGAACTTCTTAAAGGTTGCTGTAAGTTGCTGGCGTGAGAATCTCGATTTGCGGCCACTTCGTTCTCTTTTTCGCTCTCTGCGTTTTTGTCGAAAGTTTTCCGTGCGTAATACTCGCACCCCCCAACTTTGCATCAGTTTTCTGGCGAAAAAAGTGCGAGGAATATGCGAGTAAATATAGTATCTGATGGAATGCGGCATTAGCATCTAGTCAAGAAAACATCTTCGCTTGTGCAAGCTCTGCTTCTATGTCTTCTCAGTGCGGCATCTGATAATGTTCTCTCTGAAGTCATTAATTCATTTTTCTTGGGTCCATGCGTACCCGCAACCTGCTTTCTTTTTTAAGAGACACTAAAGCCAACTATTAAGTCGACGTTAATTGTTGAAATGGCGGTCCAGAAACCTTGTAGTATTACTTTCGTGCTAAGGAAGGGCCTATTTTGAAATAAAATTATGTTTTACTGCTCCGCATCGGGTTAGTGCACTTCATATTACTTGCCTCAAGAAACGAACCGACCGGACTGTCTCACGTCACTGTTGCTGTGCACAATGTTGCCTGGTTTTACTGCGCTAGTAGCAGCAGACCGAAAGCAGCTGGAGCCACAGCAGCAACAACGGCCATTGATCTATTTCCCGCCATTGGCTTCAAGATTGCAGACGCTTTTGTTTCAACTGCACCCCGCTAGATGGCACCACCTGTCCCGTGTAACCACGCAAAAATTGAATTGTTGAACCACTCGCCCCATTCTCTATAGCAATGTCTGGCGGTTCTTTTTTTTTTTTTCGTGAATCAAACAGAAATGAACAAGCAGCATGTTATTGCATCTATTGATGCACGGAAGGTTCTTTTTTAGTGCAGTTAGACTGATTACCAGTGATTAACTATAGGTGGTCCGTCTGATGTCATCAAGATCATTTTGAAAATGTCCTACTGTGGCGCTTGTGTTCTTGTGCATTTACCTTAATTTCTCGGTAAGTAGGGCGCTGTTGCTGATAATATTGTCATTTTAGAGGTTGTCATACATTGAGCTTTCACTCTGACGTAAATTGTTATTTGACTTTAGTGTTCTTTTAAGCACAGTGGCCAGTGGGCTTACTCAATCTGTTGGGCGGCTGACATTTTGAATGATGTGTTCCGCTTCCTTTCACTGTAGTTCAGTGCGCAAAAGATCTCGCAGTGCCAAAGGCACTCGTTTATCTGGCTAGTGACGGAAACAGCACACTCGCGAAGGGTGATCCTGTATTCGCTGTGCACAGCCTGTTCCTTGAAAAAGCTGTGGCAATTCATTGATGATCATGGAGGGGCTGTTGTTTGTTATGGCATCATTGTTCCGTTTGATTAGCCCCAGGTCCTTCGTGGCTTTCAGACCCAGGAGGGCACCATGGTATTGTGAAAATTCTGGTGAAGGCACTTGTTATGGCGCTTTCTTTATCGTTGAGGAAGCAAGGCTTCAGTTCCCCTCTTTTGACAACATGTATCAGCTGGGCCACGTTCAATGAAACCAACACGCATGTCAGGCAGTAGTGATCGCCTGTGTTTATTGTCATCGGTCTTTTATAGAGGTACGAGGAAAAAGGAGAGGGATTTAGTAGATAGTAAAAAAAAAGGCACGTGTAGTTCAACCAAAATAGGTGGCTTGCGCTTGGGCCTGATACGATAAAGACAGCACTCAAAGCTGCCGCTCCTCCTCTTTCAACTTCTGTGGAGGCCCTGCTCATGGGACAGACAAGCGTGCTCTCCTTTTGAGTACAGACGTTCTCATCTACCCCGTGGACATCAACGTGTAAAAAATGCAATTTCGGATGCTGAAAACCTTCGTACAAGTTTTTCTGACTTTCTAATCACAAACAATATTATTTAAAGCTCCCATCTTTGCCGCGTTGGTTAGTACCATTGCTTCCTTGAGTCAATCCATTTGCAGCTGTAGTAGATCCTGAAATGCAGCTTTGCTGCATTGTGAAGATGTGATGCGGTGAAGCATATTCAAAACGTGAAGGGGCTATTGTATTGCTCGCTGTGGCGACGTCATTACGAATAAGCACCAGAAATGCCCAGAGTCGTGATAGTGGCAGCTAGCGAACGTATTAGTACACCTTAATTGCCGACAATGTTTCTGGTAAGCATCCTCTGGCAACTGCTGAGTAGTGTGCGTGGCTTAGCACTGCTTGTTGCCTGTTCATGCACACCCGCGAAAGTGTGCTCCACAAATGCGCTGTCTACAAAGTAGCTCGCCATCGCCATGCCCGTGCACTTTTGAGAATGAAGTGGGCATCATTAAAGCTTTCATGACGAATGCTTGCATACAGTGCAGCAAGATGTAGTGGCGAGATCAGCTTAGTTGGTAGTTTGCTGCACAGAGCTAGAAACGATCCACTTCGCGCATCAGCACTGCGTACCGGTGGGGGTTGCCTGATCGTTCACGTGCGTACACGCATCGTGGAAAGTTCACGTGCGTACATGCTCTTCTGCCACGGCCCTTGCGTTTTACATCATTGTTTCCATGTGCTCCATGCCAGAGAGCTGTAATCTATTCCGCGTTTTGCTGGTGTCAGCGGCACTCATCATGAGATGTAAACTTACATAGTAAAATGGGCTTTGCGGCAGGTACCGATTGCATTCAAGGGAGCCTGAGTGTTTGCCGAAATTCCTGATATACTGGGAGGCATTAAAGTTATTTCGGACATAGTTGTGGCAACTTCACCGCTTCAGCAGAATCATATGCATTTATCTATTTTTTTGGACTGCCCTATTTTTTAGATGGTGTCACGGTAAAATCTGGGAGTGCGACTAGTTTGAGTAACAAAATTTCGGTGCGAATCGAATCAAATAGCAAACAACATTTAAAAATGTTCATAAATTTCAGTATTCGCGCACCCGTAAATATAACCAGACGCAGACATCTCACCAGCTTCTTGGTTTGGCTTTGAATGTATGTGACTTCGAATCCAATGAAATAAATACTAATTTTCCGAGCATTCGGACAGTATTATTTACAAGTTTTATTCGGCTGCTTGCAAGTATGTAGTGTAGTGCGTGACTATGCATTTCACTATGAATGTACTGCGCATGCATCATTCTATTATATATTGTTGGATAGACTTGAAAATAAATGCGTCTTATACAAAGCTATTTCTCATATACATAACTTCTTCCTGGAAAAATCTAGATGATTAGTGGTTGCACCTTAATCGAAGGCACGTCTTACATACCAGAAAATACAGTACTTGTAAAAGCTGCACCTCAACTTCAGCTTCAAATTTTCTGCACACAGTCGCTGACCGATTTTTTGGACCTGTCAGGGACCGAAAAAAAGTCCAAAAAAGTGAATAGTCTCAAAAATTTGTTTTTGTCAGAAATATGAACTTTATTGCATCAGGCAGGCTTAAAAAAGTCCTTGATTCTGTCTTGCCTCATAATACGCTTGGAAGCAATTTGGTTCACCTATATATGAGCCGAGGTAACATCGTCGCCGTAGATGCTCGACAAAAGAGTCCCCGTGGTGGCGTTCTCCACTGCCGACAGGCTGCGAGAGATCATCGTTATCATCATCCTAACCGCTCTCCGGCTGCGACACAACCTGGCGAATAATTTCTTTGTCTGTGAGCTCTACGCACGGAATTGTCATCGTCCGCACGAGCAAAGTCTTTAAATAGGGAGTTTTAGCATAACGTTTACAGGCGCTGCGGGCGTTGCGGGTATAGCAGACACATTATGAGTTCTAGAGTAGCGTTTGCTCCTCCTTGGGAAAGGTCTAGAAACATTTGTGGGCCTCACGGGCCGTGATCACCGTAGGTTATTTCGGATTTTCTGCGGGCAGGCCCCGAACGGCGACTCGCCTTACGATGCATGCGCAGTGGCAGCGTCTGCACCACAAGTGCTGGAAGTGCGCTATTCTAAAACTCCCTAATGTCGTTGTGGCAGGCACATTCATTCCACTACTGCGCAGCAGCCGCAGCTCCGCCTCCTCCCAGTATGGTGTGATGACGACAGAGCTGATCACTAGGCTGACCGGAAATGAAAAAATGGTCCCGAGCTGCATTTTCTAAAGCAGACACGGCCTCTGCAACTTGATATATGACGTTTGCTTTCCAATCTTGGAGGCAGGAAAGCCATTTTAAGTTTAAGCCACTAAGCTTAGTCAAGCCGGCAGAAAATTCAACATGGTGGCGTCCATACAGGTTCGTGGCACGGCTCAAAACAAGCGATTTAGTCCAAAAAATCCAACTTAAGGGGGCGAATTCGTCCGAAAAATCGGTCGAAAAAATGCATTAGCCCTATGGGAACCCTGACAGTGCACTTTCGAAGTCCAAAATATCCACAAACTCTGAATTTTTGGCGTCCGAAAAATTCGTCGGCTACTGTATTTTATATGACAAAATTCTGTATAGGCTGTCGGTACAGGGTTTCACAAAAGTTGATTAATGTGATGTTAGTAGTAACGCGGTTTCACTGTTTCAGGTTCTCGGCGGGCGGCTTGCAGAGCGCTTCAGTGCCAAGTGGACCCTGCTGGCAGGACTACTTACTTCATCAGCACTGACATCAGCAACACCGTGGATAGCCACACTGGGCGTCGCACCCCTGGTAGCTCACCGGATAATCCTGGGATTCGTGCATGTGAGTATGCAGTCGTGTGGCACCATCGTTTGCTTGCTTAGAAACAGCCATTTTCTTGTTTTACCAGCAGTATTCATTCAGAAACTTGAAATATCTTCAACTCTATGAAAAAAATGTGCACAATTATAGAAAATTTTATACAATTAAAAGGGCCCCACAATACGTTTCCAAGCAGCCAATAAATGGCTTTAAAAAAGCAGTTTATTTTCTCATGAACCAACCACCGCAAAACTTTTTAGAATCAATCAAGTTAGCGTGGAGTTAGAGAGATTTGTCACACACTGTACAGTCCATGCTCATTATTGTCCATGCCTCAGTTAACTGTGCAGATCATGATGCTCAAATCAGCCAGCGGCCGTGAAGTTGGGTAAATGGCATCCTTTTTAGAAAGAAAAGGGAATGAATGATTTGTAGCTGAATTTGAGAAATAATTGCGAATTCCAGGTCTTGTGCTGTGCTATAATGTTTGGCTCACCTGTTCTCAGGAGCTTCAACTACTGACCAGCAGCATTTTTAAATGTGAAGCGTTTCTTGGTGAACTTCAACAACTTTGAGCATGTCTATCTAGCTGCCTAGGACTTTCTGCTCTCATGGCCGCTCGGTTCGTTGGATGTATACCAAAATTGGCATGGCATCAGATTGCTACAGTTAAACCTTGATATAACAAAATCAATAAATTTCTCGAAAAATTCATTACAAAGAGGATTTCGTTATATGCAGGTTCAGTACAAAAATTCGATAAACAATCGTGTAAATAAACAAAATGGGGGCTTGAAGGCAGAGCTAACCCAAAACACTTATTTTACAGTAAAAAACTGCATTATTATTGCGATAGCCTCTATATGGGCACTCTCGGCGGGTTTTCGCCCTCGCCGCCATATTCTGTAACAAGTTTAAAACGATACCATGCCCCCGCGAATCGTAACTTTCACGAGCGGGTAACTGCTGAAGCTGAGATCAAATGAGTCGGCCCATTCCAATCGTCTGGACAGTGCATAAGATAACATCTCCCGAGTGTGAGAACTTCCTCCAAATGCTCAAACAGAGTAAACCACCTGTCTTGAACGAGCATGAAACAACGCGAGTAGGGGGGGTGGATCCCTTGAGTAGCAACAATGAACTTGGATTTGAAGGGCGGTTGCGATCGCTGGCGTGCTTGCTGTCTCTGCGAGTATCAGTGCGGTTTCAACGCCAAGAGATTGTGTGAAAAGAGCACTTCTCCTGGAAGCAGCCGTATTTGGTCACACCAGCGTTTTGTAGGAGTTCCGCGATATCAAATCCAAAAGAGTTGGCTGCCAGACTTACTTCTTATAACATCACAATTTTACGCTATTGCGTTCATTGCATTGCATTCAGCATGCCGTCTTGTTGCCAGAACTTATTGGCAAATCGTGAAAGCTACCAGCGTGCGAGCTTGCGGCGTGGCACAAGACGAAAGCGCGTGACAAGTCGATCTTCAAAACCCCTTGTCACCATAGTCTCGGAGAGTTTTCATCAGCGCTTAATCCGACATCCCCTCGGTGGTGAGGACACTATTGTCCGAAATTAAGAAAAGTCAGTTTCGCTGCAACGGTGAAGCAATGAATGTGATATCAACAACTCGGAATGTAAGGCTGAGAATGGCAAACAGATAGAAACGTGCAGCGCACTGCTCGCGCACAAATGACGCATGAAAACAACATACAATGCACGAGAGTGAACTAAGAACGTTTACCTTTCGACATTTAACGTGCTGTTTAAACAAAAACGAGGCATGAAATGTAATCACAGGTACAGATATCAGTGCGAACTAACAAGTGCCCTAGTTGTTACTTCACTGTATTTGAAAAGCGCACTCTTTTCGCAAATGGGGCCTGTCCAGCGAGCGAAGTGATCTTCGTGCACCAGGCAACTAAACGCAATCGTTCCGGTCAAAGTCGAAGGCGCGCTGTTCTCTCCACTGAAGGATAAACACGCGTGCACAAGCTTCTAACAACCCACCCCCACCTCCCATTCGTGGGGCAAAATACGCGTGGCAGATAAGCCCGCGTCGGCGCATCGGGACGACCGTGGCGCCAAGTGCGAGCGGCTTTTATTTTTAAAGACAATAGTCGTTCTTAGGAACCTTCAACACAAAAATGTTGGTCTATCTGTCTGTACGTTTGTCTGTTTGTTCACTCTTAACGGCATCGGGTATTTGAAACGGTCGACCCCATCCGCAGTGCCCACCAATGTTGCTCAAGGTTGAGCGTTCACACTTGTGCAATTGTCAATTAAAAAAGCAATTATTGTGCATGTCTGGGGCACCATAACAACATGTGTATATTCTGCATGTGCGTTTTTTACTAGAAAAGGCATACATAAGTAATTTTAAGGACCTGTAGCGCTTATCACGCTGCGCAGACCATGCAACGCTTGCACGGAAAGGCGAGTGTTTCCAACGCTTTGCTAAGACGAGACGGTGGTGGCACCTACCCGTCACCTTGCGTTCTACACTTTATCACCTCTGAGACAGGCGCGCACACTCGTCTCAAAGCCACGCGCTTCGTTTTCTAAGAAAACTGCCAGATGGCGCTCATGTCTCACATGTGACGTGACTTGATGCGTTCGTTTGCCTCCTCTGCACGCTTGAGGCACTCTAACGCAGTGCCTCCAGAATACCATTCACCGATTTTCTTGCGCAGAACATTAAATAAATGTCTTGTTCACTCTCTCCACATGCAAGACTATCATCTTTCGGCGGCATTTGCAGATTAAAATGCAGATAGGGGGCCAATTTTTTTTCTTGAGTTTATATATATAGATATGTATCAAAAAACAAGCTAGACCGCCCATATAACTGTTATTGCAAAAAAAAAAAAGCAATGCTAAACGTCATTGGTGGGGGGGGACACAGTAAGCACCTTTCAACTTTTAAAAGCAAAGATCGTTTGGCACAAAAGACTAGCCCCGGACCAGACGGAATTAGCGTGAAACTTCTAAAATTAACAAGTCCCTTTTCGTCATACTTTCTTTGTTTGATTTTTCAACAATCACTTGATTGAAGATTTATACCAGATGATTGGAAATCAGCGCATGTGACCCCAATTTTTAAGTCTGGTGACAATACAGTTTCCAATAACTACAGGCCAATTTCACTAACATCAATCTGTTGTAAATTACTCGAACACTTATTATTCACGCATATAATGAACCACCTTAATCTTAATAAACTGCTCCTAAACAGCCAACATGGGTTTCGTAAAGATCTATCTTGCCAAACACAACTCTTTGAATTGGTAACTGACCTTCATTCTTCTCTAAACGTGTCCCGTCCTGTTGATGCAATTTTTGTTGATTTCTCGAAAGCCTTTGATCGCGTGCCACATAAACGTCTGTTCCTAAAAATTCGCCAACTCCAACTCGACCAAAACACAACACGATGGATAGAAGAATTTTTAACCAATCATATTTCTAACCAAACACGTGTTTCATCTGGGGTCCCTCAGGGGTCAGTGTTAGGTCCTCTTTTATTCCTGATTTACATCAACGACATAGCATGCAGCCTAAAATCACCAATTCGCTTGTTTGCGGATGATTGCAAAGTGTATAGAGAAATATCTAATCCAGACGATACAATTATCTTACAATCTGATCTTATTAGGCTAGAGGAATGGTGTAGCCGCTGGCAAATGGAAATAAATGTAGAAAAAACCAAACACATAATGTTTAGTCCTACCCCCGAGACAGTTCCCGCTAACTAAAAAATAAATGATACTCCAATAGATTCAGTTCAATCGTTTAAATATTTAGGTGTGTTCTTTACGGCGAATTTAAAGTGGACGTGCCACATAGAGTACATATCTACTAAAGCCCTTAAAAAACTCGGCCTTCTCAAAAGGCGCCTACATTTAGCCACCAAGGAAACCAGGTTTCATGCATATAATTGTCTTATCCGGCCCTCACTAGAATACGGTTCAATCATATGGCATCCTCAGGGCGCAAACCTAACTAACCTTTTGGAATCTGTCCAGAACAAGGCAACCCGGTTCATCATGTCCTCGTACTCACGTTACCAAAGCGTATCTTCTTTAAAGAATTCACTTCATCTTCCCTCGCTTGCCATGCGCCGAAAGTTGGCTCGACTATGTTTTTTTCATTCGCTGTACCACAGTAGCACGCCGTTTTCCCAGCTTCATATCATTCCACCACCTCATATCTCCGCCCGGGTAGACCACACTTTCAAAGTTAAACCAATTTTTGCTAAAACAAAAAGATATAAAAACTCTCCTTTAGTCCTTGCAATCGCAGAATGGAACGCGTTACCTGCTCACATCGCAGAACTGTCCGATTCATCATTTTTTCAACATGCACTCAAAACCTTTCTTGAAGTTCTTTGATGACGCATAAATCTTTATATTGTTTTTATTCTTCTTCTATGTTTCTCTCTCTCTCTTTTTTTTTTTTTGCACACTGTTGTTGAGTGTACTGATCGCGCTTTTTTGTTCTTGTTTACTGTTTTTAAAGTGCATTTCGCGTGTACCCCTTTTTTCATTCAATGTAATCTATTGTTGTTTGGCGTTGTTTCTGGATTGCACTTTCAGTTTCTCGATGCAGTAGACATGTATACCATCTCTGCCTTCATTTATGTTCTGTACTGTACTTGTGATCATAACCCCACTCTTCTGTGTAATCCCCCCCTATGTAATGCCCATTCGGGCCTTTAGGGTATTTAATAAATAATAAATAAATAAATAAATAAATAAAAGCAAAGCTTAAGGTCCCCCAAATTTTTGGATATGAAACAAAGTTGGTGTTCTGTGATATGACTATCATCATCATCATCAGCCTGACTATGTCCAGGGCAGGACAAAGGCCTCTCCCATGTTCCGCCAGTTAACCAGGTCCTGTGCTTGCTGCTGCCAATTTATACCCGCAAACTTCTTAATCTCATCTGCCCACCTAACCTTCTGTCTCCCCCTAACCCGCTTGCCTTCTTTTGGAATCCAGTTAGTTACCCTTAATGACCAGCGGTTATCCTG